ATTTTGAATGCGAGTCAACAAATGAGATGACATGGCCTTTCACCCATGACCTGTCTTGAAAGGGTTAATACATGTTTTAGAAGCTTATATGTTAATATCAAGTTTAATAGAAAAATAAACCCATATTTATTACTTTCCTACAAGCTGTAAATGAAATGTATGAACCGACACTGAAACTTAAAAGAGGTATTTTAACTTTCTGATATAAATATTTAATGTAACCTCTTTTATTGTTAAAATATATTAAAGAAATTAATACTTAACCCCTGAGCAAATTTCCTGTTTCATTAGATTCAAGTTGTAACAATGACTAGAACCACAACTGTTCTGTGATTAAGAATATTCATGAGTTTATTCAGGATTTTTAAAACATAGTTCAAAACCTTCATAAACAATTGTCAAGATAAACACATAAAATGCTTTTGACATTACTTTAGGTATCTGATAAAATTACAGTTCTGGGTATTTGTTTGACTTGCTTACACACCCAATGATACAGCAAATATAATGCAAGTTCCTGGTTAAAATGAAATCACATTTAACATCTTTTATTATACAAAATGTTAATGTTCAAATACAAGACATAAGATGTATTTCACCTTTTGAAATATGTAATTGATTTCTTTTGGTGAACTTATTATTTATGATATAATGATGAAAACCACTATGTAACATAGCTATTTTATACTATTTTGCATGCTTCCTGTAATGGCACATATACAAATAGTTAGCCTAATAACCATATGTTAGGTCACTTTCTTAAAAGAAATGGTTTAGTAAAAACATTGTCTAAGGTATCAAATCTAATACAAATAGATAATATTTATCTCACTCTATGTATAAAATGTATTCATGATGTTCATATAGTAATTTATGTAGCATTCTACAAAGGCATCAAAGTTATGTTCATATAAGTGATTACTCAAAACAGCCACCAATGAAAATGAAAAGGGTTCACCAACATCCAGTGATGTTAAATAGGAAGACTCTATTTTGATTGTATGTCAAAAATTTAATGAAAAAGTTAGAATTAAGACAAATCATCAATCTTCTGTGCTTGTAAGTGGTAAGTTACATACCTTCTTCCCTCTCAAAATTAATAAGTATTTCTCCTATTGTTTCTGGCCAGTCAGTGGCTGAATGCAGTCCTCGTAACAAAACTCTTCGATAATGCTTGTCATCTCCATATGCCCTGAACAAAGAAAATTATTAGTTGAAAGTACCTTTAATACAAGATCAGTGTTTACTTTAAATATTACTTTTTTTTTGCTACAGATAAGTAAGCTTCAGTAACCAATAACAAGAGGGAATCCTCAATAGCCACAACACTTGAAATTCTTATAGGCAGGATTAGAGTAATTTAATCTAAGACACTTTTTTTTTTTCATTAGCTATACTTTTGTGCACCAGCAATACCAAGCATGGGGTACGTGTATACCAAACTCAATTTTATTATTCATCAGGATCTCTACCGGGCTACTCTCATATTCTTATAGGCAGGATTAGAGTAAATTAATCTAAGAGACCTTGGGCATGGTAAAATAATACATCAATTGAAAGAGTTTGACCTCCTGAGTTCAAAACTGTAATTAGATCTCAGCCAAGAGATGACAGAGCTATGAGCCACTGTGCTGTGGCTAAAAATGTCAGTAAAAAAAGATGTATATAACTCACTACTTTTAAGTAGCTGCTATGGGATGGAAAAACAACTCAACCAGTAGCATGGTACAATAACAAAGACAACCTATTTCCACAATAAAGGTCTATGGATATGTTAAATTGAACAACAGATACCTGGCAGACAACTTATTTTCCACAACAAAGTTCTATCGAGTATGTAAAATTTAATAGTAGATAGCCTGGTAGGCAACCTATTTTGCACAACAAAAATCTATGGATATGTAAAATTTAACAATAGACACCTGGTAGACAACCTAATTTCCACAACAAAAATCTATGGATATGTAAAATTTAACAATAGACACCTGGTAGACAACCTATTTTCCACAACAAAAGTATATGGATATGTAAAATTTAACAACAGACACCTGGTAGACAACCTATTTTGAACAACAAAAGTATATGGATATGTAAAATTTAGCAACTAGACACCTGGTAAATACCTTATTTTCCACAACAAAAGTATATGGATATGTAAAATTTAACAATAGACACCTGGTAGACAACCAATTTTCCACAACAAAAACCTATGGATATGTAAAATTTAACAACAGACACCTAAAATAGGTTGTCTACCAGGTGTCTGTTGTTAAATTTTACATATCCATATACTTTTGTTGTGGAAAATAGGTTGTCTACCCCACAACAAAAATCTATGGATATGTAAAATTTAACAATAGACAGCTTGGTAAACACCTTATTTTCCACAACAAAAGTATATGGATATGTAAAATTTAACAACAGACACCTGGTAGACAACCTAATTTCCACAACAAAAATCTATGGATATGTAAAATTTAACAATAGACAGCTTGGTAAACAACCTATTTTCCACAACAAAAGTATATGGATATGTAAAATTTAACAATAGACACCTGGTAGACAACCTATTTGGCACAACAAATGTATATGGATATGTAAAATTTAACAATAGACACATGGTAGGTAACCTATTTTGAACAACAAAAGTATATGGATATGTAAAACTTAACAATAGACACCTGGTAAACACCTTATTTTCCACAACAAATATATATGGATATGTAAAATTTAACAATAGTCAACTTGGTAGACAACCTATTTGGCACAATGAAGATAAGCTGAGTATTTATTTACCACAATACACAACAAAAGCTAATGATCTACTTCCCAGGTTTATACAACTATTACTTTGAACTTTGTTATCCACCAGTGGATTGAAACTGCCTGGTATCAAGAGTAAAATTAGCCTCAAAGTAGTGACTGGCAATCAGAAATTGTGAACCTTCAAGATTTAGTAGTTGAATGAAAAATTAAACTACTGGTGTTGACTAGGCATGAAAATTATTTGATAAAGGTTTGCTTTATTCGTTTATAATACACACACACACACATATTGTGAGTTTGGCTAGAGGTTCCATACACATACAGCCTAATAATAGGTTAGTTGTAACAATTGAAAATATAGTAAGTTGTTGGTACGATTTTTAACATGGTACGGATATCATACTTTCCAATTTTAAATGTAGTGTTAGTAACATTTTATAAAACTTATAACCTACACCATAAAATAAATTGGTAAAGTTCTGTGATGTTTAATTTGATATTCTAAATGACTGAATTTCTCCCTACAAAGTTTTTTAATTTTTGAAAAAATTCAATTAGGAACTACTGTACTATAATCTGTAAGTAAAAGAAAAATAACCTTTGCCAGTTAAAGGGAAAAACTTCACACTACAACTGACACTTATTCTTTTGTTTAAACTGTAGTAAATATTCATGAACATACAAAACATGTTGTCACATATAGTTGTGTTTAAGAAAAGCAATGGAATGATTCTACCATCAACATGAACCTAGATTAGTAACAAATACACTTAATATTTAATTTAAAACAACAAACTGGTTAATGTACTGCTTTACTACCTGCAAATTTAATCTTTCATACAAGTTTAGTTTAATAGTAATTTTTATAAATCTCAGCAAGTGCAAAATCACACAATTCTTGTATGTGGTACAAAGCTGTTAATTATTATAGGTATGTTGTTTATTTATTTTGATTGTGAATTTTTGAATCTTTGTTAAAAGCTAAGGATCTGTTATACTTACAGCAACATTTCTATCAGGTGAGAGTGTTAATTTAAAATGTTAAAATTAACACGTAGCAGGAATAAAAGAACAATTAGTTCTAAAAAGAATAACAAAATTAATATAACATTACCCAGTATTTAATTGTGCTTCCCTTGGTAAAAAAAAAGGTTAGTAATCATTTTTTTATGGATATAAATGATGGACCTTAATGCCAAACTTCCCACTACATCTAATCATTAGATAATGCTTGGAGATGGCTTGAATGGGTAATGAAGAACAACTTTAATACAAGTTTAACATAACAGCAAATGTACAACGTTTCAACAAGGTTTTGTCATAATCAAAACCTTAATGACAAAACCTTGTCGAAACGTTATGTTAAACTTATATTAAAGTTTTTCTTCATTACCCATTCGAGCCGTCTCCAAGCATTATTAGTCTCAAAGTGGGTTCCTCGTCATCAAATTTAATCATTAGATAGTTCAACATAAAACTCTTGATGTGACAACATTTGGAAATACAACATGTTCATCCTACTTTTTCTTTTCTAGATTAATATATTGTGGTAAATTAATATGGCAGGTTTTCTCAAACATGACAATGTTTAGAAAAATAATCAGCTCCACCATTAACTGCACCATCACTTCTTCAAAAAGGTATACTGTAAAAGTGTACAATAATATATTATACTATCAGGAAATCCACCATTCTTAGAGCACATACCTGTACAAAACAAATGTAGGATTCTTCAAGATATATATAATCAATAATGAAAATACAGTACTATGGATTATTTATTAAAATTATTATTGAAACTTTGTTAACAGATGTTTAAAGAATTGGTGAAAAAGTAGCACCTTTGTTTAATTCTCAAAGCTTAGACCACGGTCATGCTGAAGATGAGCATATGTAAGAAATGGGACAAAGAAATATGATATTGTATGTAGTGTATTATATGTCAGGAAGCAACACTTTAAAGTTTACAGAGGTAACAGAAGAAGAACAAGAAAATATAAATGTTAATAAACAAAGATAAAACTTGAGCCTCACTGAGAAGAAAATACTAAATAACTGACAAATAAACATATGTGCAGCAATAATATTGTTATAACAGTCATGTTTTATCATTTTATTTAAATTAAGCTCATAAAAGACGAAAAAAAATTACCTTTCTAAGTTGGCATACTCTAGCCAAATCCTAACCTCTGACCCTCGTCCTTGGTTAATAATGTTATTCCATAATTCTCTTGCCCGAGTCATGTTCTTACAAAACTTGGCCTAATATTGATTAGAATGATGTTAATTTTTATACTTGTAACTTAACTCAAGTTCTTTATATTTCTACTTCATTAACTAGGAAAGTTAATACAGATTGAACATAAAATTTACAATTTCTAATTTTGTATTGGCTGGGCCCTAACATGAAAATATCATTAAAAGAATCTCTGATTAAATTTTAAACATCTGAAGGTACACTATTAAAATATAATGTAAACTTCTCTTATAAATAATGTATAGATATGTACTTACTACCATAAAAATAAATATACAGAAGACACTGATAAGAAAAACAACAATCTTACAATAATCTTGACATGTTATTAATACTTGCTAAATTTGCAGATATTTTCTTTAGTGCTGTGTAGTGAAGTGTGATACTTTGAAAGTAGTCATAAAAGTGAATCTTGTACAGTCAGATTATATAGGTTTTCAGTCTAAGAGATAACTGATTGAAAATATGTTGATCAAACTCAATTTACAGCAGTGTTTTTTTCCTTGTCAGTTCTTATCTCTAACATACTGTAGATCAAACAGCAGGATAAAGAATGTACCAAACCTCTCAATATTTATTATCATAATAGTCTTATGAAGAAAAAAACAGCTGATCGTGCAAGTAGTTTTGGATTGACCAACTGTTAGTATTTCCTAAAACAACCCTAATTTTAAGGTGTAGGTCAAAACTAAAGGTGGATCTTAAAATCCTTGCTGTCATAAGAATCGGAGCCAGTAAACTACGATAATAAATATCCTCTTTATACAGAAACTCTAGTACAATCCCATTACTACATTTCAGTACTATATTCACCTTGTCCTTGGCTTCCAGTTTTTCACATTATAATCCAGTTTGTGAAGAGAGGAATTAATAGGAGTTATTAAAGTTTCTATTTTAATTTTATTTGCTTTAAGAAACTATTTCAAACATGATAAATTCCTTTTAATATAACAAATGCCAAATTGAAAACTTCTATACGAGAAGAATGTGTAGAATATGCAACCTATAAGGTCACTGGTGAGTCCTTCAATCGACACTCAATGTGACGTGGCAGGAACAATAAAGTAAATGCAAAATATCATTAAAGATTTTATTAGCTCATAAGCAACCTTTACAGACTAAAACAGTGTTTTATTTTTTAAAAGGCTTCCATCAAAAAGTGTATCTCTCTATCAATTCATCAATATATATCAGAACTTTCTAAAAATTACCTTTAAAAATGGAAATAGAAAGCAATAACAACACTGATAATAATAAACATTATCTAGATTAATTATATATATATATTTTAAAGATGCAACTTTATTTGATAAAAGTCATAATTTTATTTCCTGTTTGTCTACTCATAACAGTGCAGTACCCTATAAAAGATCTCTGTTATGATATGAAAATATCACACAGTATTCATTAAATCTGAGAGACATACAGAACTTCAATATAATAAAGTGGGTGAGTTACTAGTCCCAGCTTAAACTGGACATATGAGGATACAATTGAATTAGAGTTGGAGGATTTAATCGATTACCTAAGTGCAAAGATTGCATTCACTAGTGGCTCGTGAACTAACAGATGAATCAAAATTATGATTAATCAGTTACTGTCACGATAATAATCAACTGACTGTAATTAGTGTTTCTGATTATTACTCATTTTGATTATTCCAACAACCAATTAATAAAAATTATGATTAAATTGATTATCTCAAAATAATCAACTAATCAAATTAAGGTTTATGGTTATTTACCATTTTTTATTACTCCAACTGTCCAAATAATTGAAATATTGCCATTTGTTTGTTGTTAAGTGGGGTGCCTCATTATTTGTTTGAGGGTCTCTGGTTCATTTTACACAAACTTGGTCACCAGTTGTTTGTTGTTAAGTGGGGTGCCTCATGATTTGTTTGAGGGTCTCTGGTTCGGTTTACATAAACTTGGTCACCATTTGTTTGTTGTTAAGTGGGGTGCCTCATGATTTGTTTGAGGGTCTCTGGTTCGGTTTACACAAACTTGGTCACCATTGTTTGTTGTTAAGTGGGGTGCCTCGTGATTTGTTTGAGGGTCTCTGGTTCGGTTTACACAAACTTGGTCACCATTTGTTTGTTGTTAAGTGGGGTGCCTCGTGATTTATTTGAGGGTCTCTGGTTCAACTTACATAAATTTGGTCATCCTGTGTTTATTATTACAAAGATACTAAGGTTCCCTGCTACTGTCACCAATTTTGAACTGGTAACCAGAGGGAAGGGCAGAACCCACCACTAACTCTACGTCTACACAAATGTTAAATAGAGTATAAATTTACTGTTTTTTTACATTGTGTTGTGTTTCTAATTAATAATTGTGTAACTGTGTTCTTAACTATTGTATAAGAAGGCACAGATCTCAGGAAGATGGTTTAGGGGTCAGACCACCATTTTTTCCAGAATTAATAACCATTATTTAATGTTATACAAGCAGGCATTGATCTAGAGTGCATGGGAAGCTTTTTAAACTTCATTGAATTATGCAAAAAATGAAATTACAAGTAGGGAAGTATGGATGACTTCACCATATGCATAAGGGAGAGGTAGGTGTTGGTAGTACTATGTATTAAAAAGGAAATATATATTCGGGGAATGGATTTGTCACCCCTCAAAGCCCCTTCTCAGACAGCAGTGTTTATGCATTAAGGTTTTGCGTGTGAATTTATTCATTTGTTTATATATATACCATTACTCTGTTGAGTTTTAATACCTGTTATACATGCTAGTGCCATGTAACATTAATTAAATCTATAAAATTTAAATAAAATAAACTGGGTAAGCTACTGTGATAATACCTGTTACACACGCTAGTGCCATGTAACATTAATTAAATCTATAAAATTTAAATAGAAGAAACTGGGTAAGCTACTGTGATAATACCTGTTACACACGCTAGTGCCATGTAACATTAATTAAATCTATAAAATTGAAATATAATAAACTGGGTAAGCTACTGTGATACCTGTTTATGTTGAATACAGGGTGGAAAAAAACCTAAAGAATTTCAATACAAAAAAGTGGATTAGCTAAGAGTATGTTGAATAAAAAGGTGAAATCAGTGAAGATCAGGATATTGAAACCTTATTGAATGTGGATTTTCCACTGTTGGCCTCCGTATTTTTCTGGAATTTGTAAAAGATCTAGAGAGATGGAATGTTCATATATCTCTTGGGAGATATTTATAAAGATATAGTCATCCATAGTTATATATATACATTTTGTATTTCTTGCCATTGGTATATTAACATTTTGTTATATTTACCCATGAATTTAATTGTTAATGGATCAGGGCTGACTATCAGACTCAACAAGGTATGAATCAAATAAATATTTCTGTCTTTAATATATTTGAAAAGATTCAGTGAAACTTACCTCAATCTTTGCCCAATACTGGAGAATTATGCAACCGGGATCAGCATCAGCTCCAAAACCTGCACAGGCAAGGTCATTGAAGTCTCACAGATGGGATTATCATTTTTAAAAGAGAAATGTATTTTGGATAACCTAACTACAAGATGTTACACTTACTTAAAATTAATTAAAACACGAGGAAAGATAATCTTAGTTCATAATTTACTATCACATCAATTAAATATTATCATTAATATTTTATTTTTAACTGTTTTGATTTAACACAGGTTTCATATTAGTTGTTATGACACTTCAAAAATGAGTTGCAAAAATGTCTTTATGCCTTCATCACATTGATATAATTATAGTAACTTAAAATTACAAAAGGCTTATTCATTCCTTAGGATATATAAGCAGTACAGTTAGTAAGACTGAGAATGCATGATAATTTATACTTAGTAGACTGAGTATGTATGATAATTTGCATTTAGTATGTTTGTTGCCAAGTACAAAGTTTAATAAACAATGAACAATTTGTAACCTGATCACAACAAGTACTGAAACGAAATTTTTCAACATGAAAAGCTCTCAGAATTACCATTTAGCCACTGGAGGGCATTCAGTACAAAACAAATATATCGAGTGTGCATGACCATTATTTAGTAGGACTGAGAATCGGTGATAATTAATAATTAGAATGATTATACATCCTTGATAATTTATATTTAGTAGTGCTGACTATGTATAATAACCTATATATAGTATAATTATTTATATTTAGTATGACTGAGTATCTATTCTTATTAATATTTAGTATGATTAAGTATGCATGATCATTTATGTTAAGTAGAATTGGGTATGCAAGATCATTTACATTTGGCAGGACTGAGTATGTGTGATAATTAATGCTTCATATGTTTAACCTTAAATTCTTACAAGTTTTACAACTGTTGTATATATTTATTTTCAGTCTAATGCAACATTTATACTTAAAATGTGTATTTATTTTTCCAGATAAGCTGAGAATATATAAACCTTATAGCTAAACTGGACTGTTAATACATTATTTATATAATATTAATAGTTTGTTGTTGGAACTGTATATTATCTAGATCTTACT